TCCCGGGACTCCAGGATCATGACCCGAGCCGAAGGCAGTTGCTTAACCAACTGAGCCACCCAGGCGTCCCGACATGACTTTTTTAAACAAAGTAAAAGAGCTGAACTGACACTTCACCAAAGAAGATATACAGATGGCAGATAAGCATATATTTGCTTAATACATTCATCATGAAGGAAACACAAATCCAACAATGCCGCTTCCAGATATTAAGCAAAGAAAATGAAAGTAGGTCCACACAAAGACTTCTATTGAATATATTTAGCAGCTTTGTTCATAATATCCATAAGCTGGAAATAACTCAAATAACCATTAACTTGTGAATGGATAAGTAAACTAGACCACCTCCATACAATGGAATACTACTCAGCAATAAAAGTGAAAAACTGCTGATACACACAAAGACTTGGATCAGTGTCAAAAGCCATAAGCTCAGAGAAAGAAAGACATAAAAGTCATAAAAGGATACATACTATATGATTAAATATTAAGTGAAATTCTAGAAAATGCAAAACTGTGTTGTCAGAAAGTAGATTACTGACTTCTACGTGCTAGAGGCTAAGCGAGGAGTCAGACAACTAAGGGATACAGGGGCACATTCTGAGGTCATGAAAGGTTTCTGGACCATGACTGTGGGGATGGTTCCGTGACTCCACACACTCAGCAAAACTCACTGAACTGTACACTTAAAATTGGTGAACTTTATTAATATGTAAGTTATACTCAATAAAGCTGTTTTTTTAAATACTAAAATAAAAAAATGTTCCTATAAGTCAGTAAGAGGAATATAAATAAGCAAAGAATATGAACAGACAATTCACAGAGGAGGAAAGTAAAATGACCACTAAACATAGGGAAAGTTTCAATTTCAGCAATGATCATGAAAATGCAAATTAAAACCACAAAGAAATGCCAGTTCACGTTTTTCTGAATGGCAAACATAATTTCTTATTATCAGAACAAGTAAGGCTTTAAAGCAATGTCTGTGTAAATTAGGGCAAGATCAATTCAAAGATCAATTTGATAAGATCAAATATTATCTAGAAATTCCAGCTGTAAGTATCTATCCCAGAAAAATTCACTATGTGCACAAGACATGTACATAAACATTACGTATAATATCACTTGTAATAGCAAGGAAGTGGAAGCCACACATATCTACCAATGGAAGAACGGATAAATGAGTAGAAATACTGTATATTAACACACTGGGATCACATGCAGCAGTGAAACTGAATAAAGTGGAAGTATGTGCAGCAAGAGGGTTGATCTTGAAACATGAATTTTGAAAACTGCAAAAATAGGGGTGCCTTGGTGGCTCAGTCATTAAGCGTCTGCCTTCGGCTCGGGTTATGATCTCAGGGTCCTGGGATGGAGCCTCACATCAGGCTCCTTGCTCAGCAGGGAGCCTGTTTCTCCCTCTCCCACTCCCCCTGCTTGTGTTCCCTCTCTCGCTGTTTCTCTGTCAAATAAATAAATTAAAAATCTCAAAAAAAAAACCCTGCAATAATAATATGATCACTTATATATTTTTCTAAGATTTATTCATTTATCAGAGAGAGAGAGAGAGGGAGAGAGAGCGGCGGGGGTAGCAGGGGGAGAGGGAGAGAGAATCCTCAAGCTGACTCTGCGTTCAGCATGGAGCCTGACGCAGGGCTCGATCCCAGGACCCTGAGACGATGACCTGAGTTGAAATCAAGAGTTGGCTGCTTAACTGATTGAGCCACCCAGCCACCTCTGATCACTTATATATTTTTTAAAGATTTTATTTATTTATTTGAAAGAGAGAGAAAGAGAGCACAAGTGAGATGTGGGGACAGAGGGAGAGGGAGAAGCAGACTCCCCACTAAGCCGGAAGTCTAACACAGGCTCAGTCCCAGGACCCTGGGATCACAACCTGAGCCAAAGGCAGATGCTTAACTGACAACCACCCAAGCGTCCCTACTTATGTTTTTAAACACACAAAATACTAAGTCTAGATTATGGATACAAACATATGCAATACATATAAACACTGATAGGAGGTTATCAATCTCAAGATAGTGATTACCCTCTGATAAAGGTAATGGCTGGAAAAAGGAAGAAGCCCCCCATGCTGCAGCAAAATCCCTACCTCCCTCTCCTCCCCCAAAAAATCACACCCTCATTTCCATATTCTGTACAACCTGGTTCCTTACCTCAGTCACTACAAAAAACCTAAAATATCCTGGTCATTATTCATCACCTGGACACTTATTGCCATGCAGCTGAGAACAGCACCTAATCTGACTCTGTCTTCCATCCTTCTCAAATCCCAAAACCTCTACCATGTTCTCTGGCACTTTAATCAGCAAAATCCCTTATATCCTAACTCTTCTCCAAAAGTCCCCATCCTGTCTCTAAGCTGACTCCTCCCTGAGAATTCCCCCCCACCCCCTGCAGCCCTCCCAAAAGGTGGCTATTTTCTCTCCTTTAAACCCTCATCCACCAAAACTACAGGTGGGGAAGCTCACTGCCTGTTCAAAATCTCTACACTGCCTTCTTTCACTTCACTTGTTCTCCCCTAAAAATCTCTGGCTTTAAATTATGCCTTCAGACTGCATCACCTGCCACCACTCCTGTGTGCATATATAGCTTTCCAGTTACTTCCCTTATTTAAAAAAAAAAAAATTAGTACCTTGTTCACCATCACTATCTCCAATATTATCCCAGTAATAATTATTGGTGACTTTAATATCCATACAGACATTTCTGAAACTCTAACCACTTGGTAGAATTGACTTCTCCCAGGATCCTGTCCTCCTTCCTTTTGCAATCACCCACTTCCACTGTCGCCCCCATCAATAACAGTATCCCTTTCATAATTTCATTTCCAAGCATTTCACTCTCCAGCCACCACTCCTGACTCCAACAGCCCTTTCACTCCATCAATCCATCGATCCGATCGACTTTTTACTGTCCCAATCAGCTCCTGTTCTTACTTGCCTCCTAACCAGAGTCCATAGTTAATATTTCAATCACTCAATTTCCTTGCTCTTCCCTCTGTTTACTAACCTGGCAAAACCCTAACCCTGACTAAATCCAATCTCTAACCGTTCCATGCTGCAATTGGAAGCCTGTAGCTGGAGAAAAACATTCACTGAGCCAGCAGGTAATACTTTCAATTCATGACCACTAATTCCAAGGGGCCATTTGTACTGTCCAACAACCTGCATTTCCCCAATCCATTTCCCAGAAAGCTATTTCATGCCTTCTTTCCTTAATACAACCTCTGTGCTAGAGGCTTTGAGTTTGTCCTCACTCTGTCTCTTCCCTGCTCCATGGCCCGCTCTTCTTTCCAACTGCCATCCCGCTGAGCAACAGCAACCTGGGGCTGCAAATTCACAGAGCCACAAAGAGGCAACAGCCTTCCATAACTTTTGTAATAGTCCCTCTCCGTGACCTTACTCCGGCTGCCTGAAATGCCTGGCTTTCTAGTCTAACTCCTCTAATACATAAATCTATTAATAATCACAGTGGTTCTGCTTCCCTGATTGAACCCTGAATTTCTGGTACAGGAAGTGATTAAAGGGAAACAGGACCTTAACAACAGAAATCTAAAATTGCTTCTCTGATTCGATAAAAGGCATTAATGACCCTGTTTCTAGTGGTAAAGGGGAGACTAGTCGTCCATGGCATGCAGAGGCAAAATACTTAAATCATCACCTGCAGAGAAGCATCAGTAAGGACCTATAGAAGACAAGGTTTGGGTAACCCAGTGGTTGCTGCCATAGAATATTTTGTAAAAATGTGTTATATAATGGGTTAGTTGCTTCTAAGTACACTGGAGAACTTGGTAAAATAAATGAGTCCAGAGTTTGAAATTCACAGCTCAAGGTCTGGGTAAGGGACTGGAGTCTTCTGTAACACCTTTAATAGAAAGCCTGTGTCATGTGGACACAACTCTGAGAATTCTGAAAAGCAAACCCTCCATGTGGCTGAAAGACAATGAAAATTCAATACACACCCTGTGGGGCATCTTAAAGGGAAGACTTTGGATTGGCAAGGAGTGGGACCCTGAAAATTGGGATGGGGACATACGGGCAGATTCTGATGAAGCTGAGTACCTTGAACCCCTAAATTCCCCAAGCTTCCTCTGCAAGTACAAGCAGCTCTTCATTCTCTGAGGAAATGAGTCTCCCTTTGCCTGAAGAATGTGTAATGGCCTCACCTGAGAGAGTTGCCCTACAAGAGACTGCTGAGCTCCTGAGGACCTACTCCCGGATCTTATCATTATCCACACATATAACCACACTCAAATCCTACAAGTTCCTGGGGGTTGTGCACAAAATGTGGCTGGTGAAGATATGCAGTATATACCAAAAATACTGCAAGATTTGGACAATTTATGTCAACAGAAAGCTGGGAAGTCTGTCTATCTCCCAGAACTCACTCCCGTGTAGGTTCTGAGCTAGTGTTGGGCAAAAGAGAACTACGCACCACATTTAGAAAACAGAAGTAAAGCAGCAGAGACACTATGCTCTGAAAGTCAGGGTGGCTTAAGGCAGTGAGACACAAACAGTGAGGTGCTGGCAGCTTTGGTTTGTCCTTACTCTTCTTCTTCCCTACCCCATGTCCTCTTCCCCACACTGCTCTGGCACTTCTCACCAGCCAGCCCTGCTGCTGATCAACAGCAACCCCAGGCCCACCAGAAACGTGACTGGAAACTTAGAGATGTGGTAGCTATGTCCACTGACTTCCACACCGGCCGGCTTTCACAGTGGCATGCCACACGCTGGATGTGAGAGGCTTTTACGACCGCGTGAGAGATCTGTGGGGGGAGAGCTTTATGCTGTATACTGTCAATCTTTCACATTCATGTGGCCTTTAATGAACATTTAAAAATGTTATGAAGATAAATAATGTTTAAGAATTTTAAATATTTCAGGCGACCTTTTCTAATTTGGAACATTCCAAGCTCCCCAGGGAAAAAGAATAAAAGGAGCTCTTCCAGCCTAAAAGAATAAAATAAAAAGACTTACATCATTAGATTGAAACAATCGAGTCATTGCAAAGAAGGCTTCTGTGGCTTCTGTAGTTCCAAAGTGTTCGCCCTAAGGAAAATTGAAAACAATTTCTTAAACTTAAAAAAGGTATACTAAGGATTTTCTCTTTATTTCTGCAAAAAGCTTTTAAAATTCAGGGAAAAAATTTCTTTGTAAACATTCTGCCTCTGTGCTATTTTTCTGGCTTTCAATTTATAAACCTGTATGGCCATTTTGTCCACTCCTTATTTAAAATAATTCAATATCACACACTATGCTATAAAAGTTCTGGAATAGTAGTCTCTAACCTTTTAGCAGTAACTATTTTAATCTCCCTAGAGAACCACAGTTTACAAGTAAAAAGTAGTAGCAAGTTGAGTTCCTAATCAGAATGGCATGTTATTACTACACTGCCTACAAGCAGAGCTCACACCTTTTATATTTCTATAATCCAATGCCCAGCACAAAGCCTGACATATTATAGGAGCACAATAAATATTAAATTATAGGGGCGCCTGGGTGGCTCAGTTGGTTGCGCGACTGCCTTCAGCTCCGGTCATGATCCTGGAGTCCCGGGATCGAGTCCCGCATCGGGCTCCCTGCTCAGCAGGGAGTCTGCTTCTCCCTCTGACCCTCCCCCGTCTCATGCTCTCTCTCTCTATCTCATTCTCTCTCTCAAATAAATAGATAAAAAATCTTTAAAAAAAAAAAAAAAAATAAATAAATAAATATTAAATTATAAATAACTATATATTAGGAATCCCAGAAAACACGGTAAAAAGTGGCCAACCAAAAGGCAGGAACCAGATTAGTTATATAAGTCAGGTTTTGGATGATGCTTTGGATCAGAACTTTAACATGCTTAATAAATCATCCGAGGATCTTGCCAAAATGCAGAATCTGCTTCAGTAGCTCTGGGTGAAGGCTGAAATTTTGCATGTCTAACTAGCTTCCGGTTATGCAAATGCTGCTGTCTGAGAATGACATTTTTTTTTAAGTAGCAAGATGTTAGATAACCTATTTCACTCACAAGTCAAAAAATTCCGGATTACAGACCACCTGAGACATTAACATGTCAATATTCAATTTCATTAAAAGCAGTCCTCATAATGTGTTAGGCTCAATCACTTTTCAGGGCTTAAGATCTCACATGGACTATAACTAGTTTTCAATCTATTTGTCATGGGTATAAGAATAAACAAATTTTGACGAAAAACTTTAAAAAGTTGAGGATGAAAGACAAAGTATAAGAATTCACAATTACTTATATCAGAGTACCCAATGTGCCCATCAGTAAGAGATTTCCCTCTCTTTCATAAATACTTAGTAAACATACAGAAGTCCGGGCACTTTTCAGTCATATCAGTAAGCCCTGAGTTCCTACTTTTGGACTTGAAATTCAGAATATATGAGTAGGTCAGCTGCGGTAGAAATTTAAAAGTATTTTTCCATAAAGCAATACCAAGAACTAGGCCAAAGATAAAACTAAGGTTCCCAAACCTGTTTATGTAGTTGACTTGTGTTTATTTATCAGATTATACAGGTAATTTCCTTATCAAGATAATGAAGTGTTTCAACATGAGTTGCCCATCAAAGAGATGCTGGTCAATATAAAAGTATATGCTACTCTGCACTACCTTCAACTACTCGAAACTCTGCTTATATAATGGATTTAGCCAACCCGGATGCAATGTGTGCTATGAAAAATTAAATCAAACTGACTTTGCCTTAAATGTTTCTAATATGCTACCACAGAAGGATATGATGTTGGTACAAGAATATATTTTGTGTAAAAGCACGCACTTGTTGCTCAGTCTCCATTTGCCAACAACAAAGCTTCATCATGTCTTCAGTCATGAAACACAGTAAAAATAAGATGTTCTCATGGAATTCAAATTGGAAACCATGGCCTTCGTAACACCATATGTAAGCCACCTGAACTATATACACATGTGTATTTGGGTGTGCACGTGTGTGTGAATCTAAGAAACAAAATCACATTTTCTAAGGCCCTAGACATTTCATGAGACTTTTTCAGTCTGAAGCAAAACAAACAAAAACACAAGAAAAGATAAAATTAGCAACAGTAACAGCAAACAGAATTTATGTTCTATCAGGACAAATCCTTGTGTTTTGTCTGCTGTATCCCCAGTGCCTAAAACAGTGCGTAGGAATCAGCAGGTATATTATAAATATTTGCTGAATGACTGAATTAAAACTATTCCGAATGCGCATATCCAGGATTATTCTCAGTGCTTTACGTTCATTATCTCATTGAATCATTACAACTTTAGAAAACAGACACCATCACAATCCCCACTTATAGAAAAGGACATTAAGGCACAAAATGGTTAAGCTCAGAATCATGGTACAGTAGGGATAATATATATGTAATCTAAATATTAAAATCAAAGCTTGAAAAGCATCACTATTATACTCCTCCCCCTCAAAAAAAAAGTAAAATATCTATCTGGAATTTGTGTAAGATTTTGTACTATATTTTTGGAGGGACATAAAGACCTCTGAACAAATCTAAACAACATGTTTTAACATTAACTAATAATTGTTAAATTTGAATCAATGTTGAGACCTACTATGTGCTTGGCTGGTCTAGTACCTCATGAATAAAATAGAAGTATATGTCATAATCCATGTCCTCAAGAAGTGTTATGTATCTTTACCTTAATCAAGCACTGTCTATTTTTAAATTAAGTGAATTTTTTAAAAATAACTATACTTTCCAGAAAGTATTTCACTGCATGTTATATATTTCTACTCCAGGAAACAAATCTGAGGAAAATCAAAATACTTTACCTGGTTCAGTAAGTAAAGAATCTTTGTAAGAATATGCAAACATCTTCTTGGATTGATGGGTGTTTCATTGAATATACGAGCCTGTGGGACAAAAAATTGTTATACATAGCATATTTTCTATCATTTGTATAACAGATTACAAAAAATCAAGTTTAATCAAATAGACTATTACATATTTTGATCACAATACCCAAATAATGTGAATTGCTTACAGTTTTCAATTTATCACAGTATATGATACATTATTAAATATGGTCTTGATTTTCCATTCCACACTAACTCCTTCACTTAGATCAGGTACTTCAACTTTATGGGCTTTCTGTGTTAAGTAAGAATCACAATATTTATCTACAGCATTTGAATACAATTAGTTTAATGTCTACAACTTCCTTCAGTAACCTTGTACTAAACACCTCTTTGGAATTTTATTTAAAATTATCAACATGTGGGAGAGTCTGCATGTTTTTACATTTCTATAAGCTCTAGACCCTCCTAGGATAAGTAACCCGTCTTCTTTTTCCCTCAAGTCTGGATTCTCCGAACACAATATTACATTCCTCAATTCTTATTTTCGGTCATCATATTCCAGGGGCTCTCTGCCCACCATTCTAAAATGGAATAGAAAAGAACACAGCATACTTCCAAGTCATACCTCCTGTAAGACAGCACTCTTCTCCAGATGCCGGAAAGGATTGGAGCCACTACCTATATTATAAACAAAAAATGCCTTTAAGAGCTGTCCTAGACAAACTTATTGTCTACAAAACGGTACTGAATGCTTGGGATAGCTCACCTAAGTGAAGTGACCACTTGGATATCACAGTGACAATCATTACTAATACACATATAAATTGAATAAAATCATTTTGATTCTGGTACTAGCTGTCATTGCTAGTCATTGAAGATCTTGTACTCTTTTGCAGGATCCCTGCCCAAAATGAGTGTCTTCTTCCCCTCTCCGCTTTTCACATGAATGTGACAAGTATATGTCATGTGCACACAGCTAAGATTAATGAGACTGGCTGGGCCCTTTGGATTTCCCCAAAGGCAAGCACGATCTTACATGTTTCCAACAATTACTGAGAAGCAGAGAAGAGTTAGCAAAGAATCCTATCAAGCTGGAAGGGGCCATGGAGATTTACTAACCCAAACCTCGACCACACCATGGGAGAGCAGCACCAAACACTGAGGGTTTTTGGTTTGGGAGTTTGGGGGGTTTTGTTGTTTTTAGGTGGCTTGGCATCTTCCCCATTTGCTCTGGACGCAACTCACTTTTGGATGCCTGAGCATTAAATGACCGATGTACCATGGGACAGTCTTAACCCCCTGGGAAGCGGACAGAGTTAAGGTCCCCGGGAAGACTGGAAGGTACAAGGCACTTCCAAGTTCATACACACACACACGCACGCACATACTGTCCCGTCGAGCACAGACCCACTCTGGGCCTACCACTACCAGCAACCCCCGCTCTCACACGCGCGCACCCACTTCCTCCGCCACGCGCCGTGGGCCCGCCTCCTCTGCGGGCAGCCCACCCCCGGCGAGCGCGGCGGAGG